TTTTGATATTATGATTTACCCTGAGTTTCCTTGAATCCATTTGCTCATAACTTCCCTAAAACATTACTCATCTAAACACTTCTGCATTAACTGTTCTTGAGAAAAGAGGAGCTCGTCTCTTTCTGCAGAAGTGTTTTAAACGGTGAGGTTTAAGCAGAATGCATGTTTTAGGGAAGTAGTGAGCACACAGTAAATGACCTTATCAATCAATCAATCAATCAATGTTTATTTATATAGCCCAATATCACAAATGTTACATTTGTCTCAGTGGACTTCACAGTGTGTACAGAATATCAGTATGACAATACGACACCCTCTGTCCTTAGACCCTCACATCGTACAAGGAAAAACTTCCGAAGAAAACCCACAGTTTAAAGGGAAAAATGGGAGAAACCTCAGGGAGAGCAACAGAGGAGGGATCCTTCTCCCAGGACGGACAGACGTGCAATAGATGCCGTGTGTAAATTGAAAAGATAATACATTTGCAACATAGGTAGTCCAAATGTTTGGAAATGCATGTGTGTATAATAGGAAGATGAATCCACGAGGATATCCATCCAGGACCTATGATCCAGGACCACAGCCACGACTCGCGATCCAGGACAGAGGAGCGCAGGATCATCCATGACTCCGGATCCCGGCATATATAGACACCAAAAAGAAAGACATTTGGGGAAGCTGGGTTAATCGGAACATGAAAGTACACAGGTATAGACAGAGAGAAGGAAGAAGTAAGATGTCCCCCGACAAACTAAGCCTATATCAGCAAAACTAGGGGCTGAATCTAATCAGCCCTAACTATAAGCTTTATCAAAAAGGAAGGTCTTAAGCGCACTCTTAAAAACGGATAGGGTGTCTGCCGCCCGAACACAAACTGGAAGCTGATTCCACAAATGTGGAGCTTGATAAGAAAAGGCTCTGGCTACCATTGTACTTTTAGAGACTCTAGGAACAACCAACAACCCTGCATTCTTGGAACGCAATGCCCTAGTAGGACAGTAGGGTATAATGAGTTCTTTAAGGTAAGATGGCACCTGCCCATTAAGGGCTTTGTAGGCGAGAAGAATAATTTTAAATTCTATCCTGTGTTCTATAAGGAGCCAGTGTAAGGCAGCCAGAACAGGAGTAATGTGGTCCCTTTTCCTAACTCTGGTTAGTACACGAGCTGCAGCATTTTGAATCAGCTGAAGCGACTTGACTGACTTCTTGGTACACCCTGATAATAAAGAGTTACAATAATCCAGCCTTGAAGTAACAAATCCATGGACTGGTTTCTCTGCATCGTTTTGAGGCAAGATATGCCTGATTTTTGCAATGTTACGTAGATGGAAATAGGCGGTCCTTGAAATTGATTTTAAGTGGGCGTTAAAGGATAAATCCTGATCAAATATAACACCAAGATTCCTTACAGTCTCACTGGAGGCCAAATTAATGCCATCCATAGTTAGTATATCTTTAAATAATTTGTATCGTAGATTCTTCTGGCCAAGTACAATAACTTCTGATTGATAAATATAGTTGAGTATCATCCGCATAACAATGAAAAGGTACAGAATGATTCCTTATAATATTGCCTAACGGAAGCATATACAATGTGAACAAAATAGGTCCGAGCACTGAGCCCTGTGGCACTCCATGGCTAACTTTGGTTTGCGTGGAAGATTCATCATTGACACGTACAAACTGAGAGCGTTCAGATAGATAGGACCTAAACCAGCCTAAAGCAGTTCCCTGTATGCCAACTAAGTGCTCTAGTCTTTGCAATAAGATATCATGATCGATAGTATCAAATGCAGCACTGAGATCGAGCAAAACAAGAATAGAGACACGTCCCTTGTCAGAGGCTATTAGAATGTCATTTGTGACTTTAACCAGAGCTGTCTCTGTGCTATGATGTGTTTTAAAGCCAGACTGAAAATCTTCAAATAAATCATTGTTTTTTAAGTAATCACACAACTGTTTTGCGACCGCTTTCTCAAGAATTTTTGAGAGGAACGGAAGATTGGAAATAGGTCTATAATTGGCTAAAACCTCTGGATCGAGGTTGTGCTTTTTAAGAAGCGGTTTTATCACTGCTACTTTGAATGATTGTGGAACATAGCCTGATAATAAAGACATATTCATAATATTTAATAAATAAGTGCTAATTAATGGAAAAACTTCCTTCAACAGCTTAGTTGGAATTGGGTCTAACATACACGTTGATGGTTTAGAAGAGAGAATCATTGAATTTAATTGTTCAAGGTTTATGGCTGAAAAGCATTCTAGTTTACTATCTAGTGCAGGGGTGGCCAACCCGCGGCTCTCGAGCCGCATGCGGCTCTTTGCCTAGTTTCATGCGGCTCTTCAGTTCATATCGAATTGTATATGTGTGAGTTTGGGGGAGAGACATTGACTCCTGACTAGTGTTGCACGGTGTACCGATACTTGAAAGGTACCGCGATACCCTGCCGTTAAAAACGTTACGATTCCGCCGTTTCATTAGTATCGGTACTTTAAGAATGACGGGGAAAAGTACTCCGGTGAGAAAGCGCCGTTTTAATAAGAGCCGTGTGTGTTCAGCGCTCTGCTTCCACTCCCTGCACTGCAGCCTTGCCTGCAGTCCCTCCCTCTCAAGCACGCTCTAACTCCCTCCCCTCTCAAGCACGCTCTAAGTCCCTCCCCTCTCAAGCACGCTCTAAGTGCCTCCCCTCTCTCGTGCACGCGCTAGCTGCCAGAGCATGTGAGAAAACGAGAAGCATGGCTGCAAGTGGGAGTGCAGCTGCCGCTGCGCCTCGGCTTGTTGACAAAAAAGACGCCAGAAGCGAAATTTGGAAGTATTTGAGCTATATCTCTGACAGTGAGGGCAAGCCTACGGACACCACGAGGCCTGTCTGTGAGACATGTATTAATTTTATTTAATACGAATTCTTGTCATTTATTTTATTTATTGTTCTCATTGTTTAAAAGTTTGTGTTATGGTTATGGTTCTGGTGTGAAATAAAGCACAATAATTACATTTAAGACTGTTTCCCTTTTTTTAAGAAAAGTATCAAAAAAGAATCGGAATCGCAATTCTTGACTTGGTATCGAAACCAAAATGTTGGTACCGTGACAACACTAGCTACTCCTGACAGTTAAACCTGATATTTAGTAGGTCTGTTAAGTATTGAATGCTGATCATTCTGACGTAATTTGGCCGGTCAAAGTTGTTTGGGCTCGGATAAAATCGCTCCGTTACTTTCGTCCCGTGTTACTTTTGTCCCGGCTCTCCCTATGTGTGTATGTGTGGTGTCAGGTGTCATGAGAGGATGACAGCGCGTCTAATTTTGATGTGACCCAAGAGCCAATCACAATAATACCTGCGATGCAGTGAACCAATCACCTTTGAGGGGGGGAAAACCTATCGTTGATTAAACACTATCCAGTGTTTCCCCTACCATTGTGTTGGAGGGGTGCTGCGCCCCGCCAACGGAGCCCCGCGACCCCCCCTGGAATTCAAGGTGTTTCAAAAATATATATAATATATATTTTTTAAATATATATATAGCACCAAATTGCAAATAATCTATAACTACTGTCACTTTTCACATTGAACATGTGCTCTTTTATTAAATAAACTAAACACTTTCATTTTAAGTTGTGAGTTTAGTGTTTTTGACCCTAAGAAACACTGATGCATTAATCAATAACAATAATCCACAGCTCCTCTCTCTGCTCCAGAGGATTTAAAAAATATAAATCCCAATGCCACAAAGATGCATCAGTGACGTGGTTGAAATCTTGTCTCCAGAAAACAAAAAACTGAAACAAGCGTTATCAGTGACTGTGTGTTTGATGTGGCTCTTTGCAGTAACATAGAAAAAATGTGGCTCTTAACCTCTGACTGGTTGGCCACCCCTGATCTAGTGTAATATTAGAACTTACGTTTCCGGGAGCTGTTGATAACACTATACTGGTCAAAGGCAAGAGGTCATTAATTTTGTTTCTAAGAGTAACAATGTTATCGTTAAAAAAGCACATACAATCATTACTACTGAGTGCTATGGGAATAGAAGGCTCAATCCAGCTATGGCTCTCTGTCAGCCTGGCTACAGTGCTGAAAAGAAATCTTGCATTATTCTTATTCTCATCTATTAATGAAGAGTAGTAGGCTGCTCTCGCTTTACGCAGTGCTTTCTTATATTCATTGAGAGTAATATGCCAAATTAAACGAGATTCTTCAAGTTTAGTGGAACGCCATATCCTTTCAAGTTGTCTCGACTTTTGCTTTATTTTGCGGGTTTCGGCATTATGCCATGGAGCTAATCTATGTTGTTTTATTTTCTTCTTTTTCAAAGGAGCAACAGAGTCTAATTTTATTCGCAGCGCATCTGTAGCACTATCAACAACATGATCAATTTGGGGTGGTGTACATTTTGTATAAGTTTCCTCCCTTACATGCAGACATGCTATCGAGTTAAGTATTGGTGGAATCTCTTCCTTAAATTTGGCTATAGCACTAACAGATAGGTTTCTGCTGCAGGAGCTTTTGACTAATGCTTTGTAGTCTCGTAACAGTACTTCAAAAGTTACTAAGAAATGGTCGGATAAAGCAGGATTATGCGGTTCGACTAATAGTTGCTCAATTTCAATACCATAAGTCAGAACAAGGTCGAGAGTGTGATTATAGCAGTGGGTTGGTTTATTTACACTCTGACAAAAACCAACAGAATCTAATATAGAGTTAAATGCAACAGTAAGGCTATTTGTATCATCGTCAACATGAATATTAAAGTCACCTACGATAATTACTTTATCTGTTTTAAGTACCAAAGTTGATAAAAACTCAGAGAATTCTGATAAGAATTCTGAATAAGGACCTGGTGCACGGTACACTGTAACAAATAAGATTGGCTGCAAAGTTTTCCAGGTCGGATGCGTAAGACTAAAAACAAGGCTTTCAAAGGAGGTATAATTTAATTTTGGTTTAGTATTGATAAGTAAACTTGAGTCAAAGATTGCTGCAACTCCACCTCCTCGGCCCACGCCTCGGGCAATATATGAGTATTGATATGGCTGGGTGGAGTGGCCTCATTTATGCTGACATATTCTTCATGTCTCAACCAAGTTTCAGTGAGACAGCATATATCAATATTATAATCTGATATTAAATCATTTACCAATATTGCTTTAGATTCAATTCAATTCAAAATGCTAGAGATCTTATGTTTAAGAGACCACACAACTAAACAGCATTAGTTGTGTTCGAGTTAGTTAACGGATGTTTTTAATATATTTCTACTGTTGTAAAACACGGCCCTGAATTAATTTAACATTCATTAAGACTTTTCTCCATTTTGGGATTCTTTGTTCACCGTGGAGTCACGCTAGAAAAAGTTATCAACTTCAAGATGATCTGAAAATGGTAATTTGGGGGTAAAGTATTCCTTCAAAGCCCCGACCGCAGCCAGAAACCACTAGTTCAGTTGTTATTTTCTATTGATCTCGATCTATTACTAATTGTCTTACTTGTTAACAGAACACAGAGCGGCCATATGATATACTTCATTCAGATAAGAACAGAGACAACAGATCAATATGCTACTACCCACGGAATTAAATTCTTCATCAATAATGTTCTACACAATAATATTAAAAAACACTTGTGTACGTGTTTCGGTTTATCAGTTACTTTCAGAAGACATGTAGGATTTAGATGAGGTAATGGTGAAAAGGTAAAACTATTATTAAGGGAGAGGTTTTTAGTAGAAACTCACCATCAACAACGATGATCTCAATATCCTTGTATGAAGCCTGTGTCAAAGATGATCCCGCACCACACCTGCTGTAGCGTCCTGAGTCAGACTTGGTTAGCTGAGTGATGGTGACAAAAAAAAACTCCATCTTTATAATCACTGCTGTATCTGCCTCTCTGAGCTGGGGCATCAGTTGTTTCAATGAGAATGTCTTCTTGTTCACATGTTTCCATACCAAGTAAAAGGGCATTTAACTCTGACATCTTCTCCTTCAGTTCCTGAATAGACAAAGTGTTGGGCACTGACGAGACCGGTGCTTCCATCCTGCAGAGCTGAACAAAAGATTAACAAAAGATTAACCATCATTATTAGTGGTCTGTACTTCCTGTAAGATGCTGCAGTCTGAAAACAACACTTCCTGTTTCACATGAACACAGATCCTCAGAGTTAAACCACAGCCTGTGACTGAAGATCACCATCAGCACTGCAGGTTAATGTGACCGTTTGATCTGAGATCTTTATCCTTTAGACCAGGGGTGGGGAACCTCCGGCCCCCGGGCCGTATACGGCCCGCGATACCGTTTGGTATGGCCCTCGAGGTAATTTATAAACACACGCAAAAAAGAAAAAAATTAAAGAAATCTAGACCGCAAAATAATTAAACAAGCGAGTGCCTGTTTTTCCTGGCAACGGTCATGGTCCTTGAACACAACACGAGCCTAACGTGTCATCACGTGGTATATGTCTCGTCTGACAGGGGTGCAGTGCTGACGGAGAGCACCAGAACGCGGCTCCGGGACTTCAAATAATTGCAGTAGGCCTACCCATAAGTCCGTACCATATACAGTCTATGGTTCGTACACATGCTGCAGTTTCTGCGTGGCTGTGTCTTTAGTTGTAAGCCCAGTGGCGATCTGTTCATCTGTCATACTGATCATACAGTCAATAACTTTGTTGCTATTAGCATCTGGTTAGCTAGCTATGCTAACGAATATAAGAAGCTTTTTCTCCAACCAGTGAGGTAAAGGCACATCTTTATATGATCATTATAGTTATCAAAAAACAAGAGAATAAAATAAACAGGTATAAAATACAATATGACAGTAAAAAAAAGTTGTTATTAATCAACAAGAATACAGTTTGAAAGGAGAGTGATTTGTAAAATATCCATAAAGAAAAAGTAAATCTGCTTACAGTTCTGTTTCATATGGGTGTTGAGAGATGTTTCCATAGATCTCTTCATTTTGCTCTCAAAGTGCACCAGATTGATGCTTTCAATTTCAATATTTAAAACAAATCTTCCCGGGGGGGCATGCCTGGATGCATAACCCCCCTAGAGGAGGTTAGGCCCCCCCCCCCCCCCCCCACTTAAATCATGTTCACATGGATAGGAAACTAAGTACATTTGCACACAACTTGTGTCCATATCTTTCTGTTTGGTGGTCATGCCACAACCGTGCACGTGCATGCATACGCGAGTCATGGCAAGATATCTGGACTAAGAGGTTGCTTTTTCTTTGCACAGCATGAAAGAAAGTGCTGTGATTTTGAAGCAGAGGTCAATCATTTGTACGGCCCTCGGAGGATGTTGAAAAAATTGAAATGGCCCTTGAGAGGAAAAAGGTTCCCCACCCCTGCTTTAGACACAAAGACTACATGAAGTCTCCATCTCTTACTTTAAGCTTTACATTAACGCAAATCCTTTTAGTACATCACCTAAAAAGTGTTTTATGTCAACACCACTTTTTTTATTTATGACGTTTTTGGACAAAACACTTAGATAGATAGATATAAACTTTTTTTATCCCAAATTGGGAAATAATTTTAGTTCCAGCAGCAGTGTCAAGCCGTACGCGAGTTATAAATGTTTAAAAGATACAATAAGATACAAATATGATAAAAAGTCTAAATTAACATTAGCGGCAGAATACAAATCAAAAGATTAATAAATGAATATTTTGCAGATTAAATGATTATGAAAACAATCATATTCATTATTTCTTAATGACTACATGTTACTCATTCAGTGAGCAGATAATAACTGAGTTTGATGATGATGTACAGTTAGTTTGAGGAAGTGAAGCATACTTCATTGGTTGCATGGTATTAAAAAGCCTAATTTTGGAATATGTGAATAACTCGTACTGCTGGAGCCTTGCATTAACTCAAGAATAACAGAAAAAGAAAATTACTAACATGAAAATAAAGTACTCACAGAAGAGGAAGAAGAAGCAGATCAAAGTGTGAGAGACTTCCATGCTGAGACTCTGATGGTTTACCGCTGACTGTCTTTCTTTACTGGCCAACCAGGAACTTGTTACTTCTTTAAATGATGAAGTCCCTCCTCCAAACACAACACAGCTCTCCTCTCCTCCCCAACGCAGGAACACTATGGTCTAAAAATACTCCATTGAAAGTAATGAATTGTAAATATCAGCAAAATGTACTTTTAGTATCAGTAAAAGTAATAATTATGCATAATAGCTCCTTTCATCGTGTTGTTTTAATATAGTATAAATAATTCTGTTTTTATGTCTAACACATACGTGTAGGAGCATTTTAATGTTGTAGTGTGTCAAGGTGGAGCCAATTTTATATAAGCAGTACATTCTGCATCATATCATCATGTTTCATATGTCAAACGTTACAAGTAGCCTAACTGAGTGTCAGATATCTATAGTTGAGTAAACAAATATCAAATCTAGAAGCATTGCATTTAAATACTCAAGTAAAGAACCAGTTAGTTATGTACAAATAAGGTTAACATGGAAGCTTAATTCAGGCAGATATTGGCAAAATTAGTAAACTTTTAATTTCCATCATTTCACTACAACGCTCACTTGCTCATGTATATGTTGTTGAGACAACAGTAGAAAAACAAATATTACTCAAAACTATATCCGTAGTTTCATCACATTGTTCCCCCGAAAGAAGGAAGAAGTACTCAGGTCTTATACTTAAGTCAAAGTAGAAGTAACAGTGTAGGAATACTCTGTTACAAGTAAAAGTCCTGTATTCTAAAGGTTACTAAAGTAAAAGTAACATCAATAGCCTCAATACTTAAAGTACCACGAATATAATGATTACATATTCACCGATTCCAGAATAATATATGTTTTGATTATAATGATTGATCATTAAAGTGTTATCAAAGCTGGTAAAGGTGCAGCTAGTTTGAGTTATTCCACATGCTGCAGGGTAGCTTGTGAATTGACTCCAGGTGGAACTAAAGTCTGATTTAAGTGTTGATTATATTTCACATTAATTATCAAAATGTGCAAACTAAACCAAGATAATAAATAGATGTAGTGGAGTAAAAGTACACCATTTACCTCTAAATTGTAGTGGAGTAAAAAGTATTAGAAAATGGAAATATCTCAAAGTATCTCAAAATTGTTTACAGTACTTGAGTTAATGTACTTAGTTACTTCCCACCTCTGCCCTAATGTTAATTTTATTTATTTTTTAACAGAACACAGCTAACAGAATCAGTCTGGAGCTAGCTTGAAGGTGACCTATCATGCTATATTTGAACAATATATTGTAGGGCCATACCTATATAAAGTAGATAAATATAGTTTTTTTTTCAAAATACCAAACAGATCCTGCATTTTAGCCATGCCTCATTTTGCTCTATTTGCTCTTTCCAGCCCTGTTTTTGCAGGGGGCTGATTCTGTGACGTAGCTGACCACGCCCCCCTGAAGGAGAGGGGAGCTTGCTCTGAGATCAGCTGCTGGGCTGTCAGAAGAGGGGGAGGAATAGAGATCTCCATCCTCCGTGTTTTATTCTTATATGATTATATAGAGTCATTATTCATTTGTTTTAAAGCTCAATAAATAACAAAGAAGACCTTTGACCGGCACTTTTCTAATTTTGTACGGAAGATTTAAACTTTAACGAACATGTTGACCGGCGGAAAAAATCTAACTGAAACTCTGCCGCACGGTCCCCTCGTTCCTTGGAAGAGGCGGAAAGGTGGGTGTTTGTCATCTGCTGGTGGACTACCGCCGGAGAGAATTACAGCGAGGGAGGGATTGCAATGAATTACAGCAGCAGGAGCAAACGCTTGCCTCGGGGAGGGAGAAAAAGAGCCACAGCGGAGAATAAACAGAAGGGCAACCATGGCAACCATGCGCGGGAAGTCTTCTTCGCTGCTTTTGTGGCAGACTACAGCGCCACTTACAGGCCTGGCATATGTACTACAGCGCCTCCAGCGCTTTCGAGCGGCAATGGCCGGCGGTGGCCCAACCCCACATTCCCCTGATAGGTGGAGAGTTGGCCATATAGGCGGAGCTCCTCGTTCCTGACGTCAGAGAATTTTCAAATCTGTATCAGTCTGTGTCAGATCCGTTGCAGCCCCGTTTTTAGAGATTTGGGTACGGAGGAAAAGAGAGAGGGTTGTGTTTCTGACACTTGGTGATTTCCCTGACACACCGGGGACACATATTCATGTTTAAAAGACGTACAAAGGTGCATTTTGCATGATAGGTCCCCTTTAACTTACTGAGGCAGGTGAAGTGAGGTTAGCATATTAAGAAGAAAACGGCCCTCCTGATGTTCTTTGTACCTTCTCCATTGAAAAGTGTCACTTTTATGTAACTGTTAAAACTAAATTAAACTGTGCTCTTATATTATTCATCGCTTTCTGCTCATTCTAAGATCAACAATATGAAACGCAGCAGCAGCTCGTTCTTCTCACGTCACTTTCTAACACCGGAAACTGCACTGTAAAACGTAAAAATGTTTTAGTTTGTCGATAGTTAAAAGTTAAAACACAATATAACTTTAACATTTCACCCATAGTATCATCACATTTTGTTCTCATACTTCTAAATGTAATGTACTAACATTTAAATTCAAACTGAAAATAACGTTTTTTAACGGTTAAGTGAAACAGTCCTGGAGCTAGCTTAATTTACCGAGGCAGGAGAAGAGCTGTTAGTCCATTAAGAAGAAAACTTTAATTTAAGATTAATAATATTAATATTAACATATATTGTAATGCGTTGTTTTTTTTTACTCAACATTATAGTTTATAAATATCATGTGTTCAATACATGAATTATTCATTTTTAATTCCACATTCATCAGCAAAAACACTTCATGAGTTTAATCAATACAGCCCCATCTTCCCTAATGTTATACATACATACAAACATATGTTAGGTTAAAGTCAATATCATTGAAGTATTTCTATTTACTGATACATTATACAATATTCTTCATTACACTGGTAGAAGCATTTTACTGCTGTTCTGTTGTTTTTCCTCTGAAAACTAGTTATTTCTCTCTTATATTGTAAGATGTTAATGGACCCAGCAAGTGAAAAAAAAGCATGCATTTGCAGGGACTTCCTGTGAAGCTGAACATTTATTTTGGGATACAGATTTCTCTGTAAGGAAGACATCTTTTAGCAAATTGCGTTAGAGGTAGTTTCCTGTGTTGTGAAGGTACAACATGCTCAGCTACAGTCTGGCTGAACTCTAAAGACTACAGATATATTATATATATTATAAGACCTTACAAAGAACAGAAAAGCCAATGTTGATCGGAGACACATTAGAAAAGGTACAACAATTTAGGAAATCTAATAATAAAATAGAAGTGACTCATACTAGCTGATCACACTTCTAACCACAGGAACAAACAAGACAGAGACTCATTTTAAAATACGCAACACCTGATGAGCACACATCTGGGGGAGTATATCTGTAAATATAAAAAGGGAAATTACGTTATATAGAAAATGACAGAAATAAAGGTGTACTCACTAAAAAACCAAGAAGATCAAACCGTGGTAAACTGCAAGCCAACAATACATTTAAACCATTTCCCAAAAACTTTGGATAAGATCAAACTTTATTGATACCCAGGACAATTGTTGTGTCACAGCTGCAGATCAGAGTTGGAACACCGCCAATATAGAATAAAGTGTAAATATTGACAACAAACAAAAACAACTTAATCCCTTTTCCTTTGGTTTGGCCATTTGTCTTATTTACACTTATCTGATATCCGTTTTTACATTTGACAAAAGTTTTTATGGATAAAAAAAGCAAGAGATGTAAAAAACGTTCCCCACTAGCATTCTTGTTTGGGTCTGTGACCAGGGAAAAGCTTGTGATTTATTTAAACAGGATGCCGCCTAAAGCTGCTGTTTTATGAGCCCAGAGTTAAATAACCCTAACTGTATTTTAAGAATTAGAAGCAGTGTCAATGTTGTAGTAATCATCGGTTTCATCTCCATTTGGTCGTGTATATCTGGCGTGAGTGTGAACAGAAGAGATTTCCACAGGAGGAGATCTGCTCCGGGCGGCCTCCACGATATCATCGTACACTCGGTCGGTCTACAGGAGAAGAGGTGTGAATATCAGCTGGTTTCACACACACTTATGATCTGGTTTACCAAAACTTACCTCTGTGACGAAATCATATTGTGTTTCCACAGGAGGTTCTGAAAAACACAGCAGTACGTTTAGATAACGACACTACACTGGGAAAACATCTTGCTCAGTCAAATGAAGACAAACACAGATTCATCCCTCATCAACTGTCATGATCCCAGTGTTGTTCTATTTCCTGTTTTATTTAGAATTTGTGTTTTCTGTTTATGCTTCTTCTCTGCCACCTTCTGAACTCCTGCACTTTGTTGGTTTTCTGTTTAGTCTTTGTCAGATTCTTGTATGTCGTTGTTCTTCGTGTTCAGGAACTTCTGTTCTGTTATTTGTGAGTATTTTAACTTTGAAAGTTGTGTCTGTTTCAAAGGTTATTTAACATGTGGAGAAAGATCAGACAGTTAAAACCTTTCTGTTATAAATGGAAAGTTCATGTGTGTTACCTGGTTCCTGACTTTTGGCTTTACAAATCCTCTTCCTGCAGAATACCAGCACAGACAGTGATGACACGATGACCAGGACGACCAGAGTCAGACGCACATACAGGATCACACCTGTGGGCGTTTGAAGAGTTACATATTTCATCTAACACTCAGAGTACCCATAATCCATTTTGTTTTTTAGGGGGGGACAGGTTATCTTTAGGTGAAGACAAAAGGTCAACAGTATTTGCCATATACTGTCGAAATAGAGTAAATCTTTTGAACACTGGGAACCTGATTTGGAGGTTCAGCATTTTAAAATCTACTTTTGTAAACTTTTGGACATTCTCATGCTCTTTCATGTCTCACAAGTTGTTTAACGTTATCTAGTAAACACAGTGTGTGGATGTACCTTTAGTTGTTTCAGGCTGCTCTGTAGTTTTAGGAGAAGTGGTCAGAGCTGTGAAC